CAACTCACCGTGTTTGGAGGAAGAAAAATGTTGACTATGACCTTAAGAACACCATCCCTACAGTCAAGCACAGAGGTGGACAATGTGCTTTGGGGCTGTTTCTCTGCTAAAAGTACAGGGCATCTTTACCGCATTGAGTGGCCAGTGGACGGGCCATGTATTGTAAAATTTTGGGTGAGAACCTTCTTCCCTCTGCCAGAACACCGAAGATGGGATGTGGATGGGTCTCCCAGCATGACAATGACCCAAAACATATACCGCCAAAGCAACAAAGGAGTGGCTCATGAAGAAGCACATTAAGGTCATGGAGTGGCCTAGCCAGTCTCCAGACCTTAATCCTATAGAAAATGTATGGAAGGAGCTGAAACTTCGAGTGCTAGCCAAGAAACCTTAAGAATTTAGAGAAGATCTGTAAAGAAGAGTGGACAAAATCTTTCCTGAGATGTGTGCAAACCTGGTAACCAACTACAAGAAATGTCTTACCTCTGTGCTTGCCAGCAAGGGTTTCTCCACCAAGTATCAAGTCATGTTTTGCTTGGGCATCAAATACTTATTTTACTCATTGAACTGCAACTCAATTTATAACATTTGTTTCGTGTTTTTTCTGGATTTTTGGTTGATATTATGTCTCTATCATTTAAAATACACCTATGATAAAAATTATAGACCCTTCATTTTTTTGTAAGTGGGTAAAACTTACAAAAATCTGCAGGGGATTAAACAATTATTTTCCCCACTGCATATATCACAGCCTTTTTCCTGCTAGCCACTCATAACAGTGAGTCTTCAGAGAATGGAACAGGGAAACTGCCATAGCTGTAGACCCAATACTCTGCTATTCAGGTTAGGCCAATTTATCTGTGGATTTAAGTTCTGTTCTAACTGTAACACAAGACAGGTTGTCACTGTCACAGATGTGATTGAGATGCTGGATTTTGTTCATTGATAGGTTATGGTTAGTGATGCACTGAAATTTTGGTGGCTGAAACGTTTCGGCTGAAAACACCCCATTTAGCCATTGGCCGATTATGAAAAAAAAAAAGAAAGTACCGATACAGGTGCCGAAAAAAAAACACTCCCCTTGCCACCCGCCTGCTGCGACTGGCCTCCGCTCGGTAGTTCTCAGCCTTTCCTGAGAAACCATCGAACTATCCTGGCACTGGACATAGAGATTAGTGAAAGAAAGATGGCCGCCACTCATCTCTATGCCCTTGCAGGAACAGAGTGATGTCACTTCCGGTTCTGTGCATTTTTTTTTTTTTTAAAGCACTAGTTCAATACTTTTTTTGATCTAGTGCTTTACATTGCAGAGGAGAGATGTGGGGTCCTATTGACCCCACATCTCTCCATAAAGAGGACCTGTCACTAATTATTTCTATCACAAGGGATGCATGCATTCCATGTGATAAGAATAAAAGTGATTCAAATTTTTTTTAAAGTGACAGTGCAAAAAAAAAACAACAAAAAAAAACCTTAAATAAATTTTAAAAAAAAAAATAGTTCAAAGTGCCCCCGTGCTCGCACATAGCGATGAACGCATACGTAGGCCACGCCCACATATGTAAACGATGTTCAAACCACACACGTGAGGTATCGCCACGAACGTCAGAGCAAGAGCAATAATTCTCGCACTAGAACTCCTCTGTAACTTTACACTACTAACCTGTAGACATTTTTAAAGCATCACCCATGGAGATTAAGTACCGCAGTTTCACCCCATTCCACGAGTGTGCGCAAAAACAGTAAACGGTGTATATATATATATATATATATATATATATATATATATATATATATATATGTGTAAAAAAAAAAAAAATTTTAACCAAAGTTTTTTTTTTTTTCCAAAAAACATTCATTTTTAAAAAGTGCGCATTTCAGTTTTCGGCCAAGTGCATTTTGAGTTTTCGGTTTCGGCACCAGAATTTTCATTTTCATGCACCACTAGTTATGGCTGAAAAAGGTGAAGGCTCCAGTGACACTGCTCTCAGCACAAACCAGGTACCTCTAAAAACTGGGGTGGGAGGTTCAGGTTTGGAATTGTCTCCCTAAAACCAAGTTGCCCAAGTTTTGGTTTTGTCACTACCGAGTGCAGGACTGTCGTGTAGAGAACAGTGTACTTGATGAACTGGAAAAAGCTGCACTTAATAGCCAACTGAAGAGACTTCTAGGATTTCTAATAGCCAACCTGAATGTTCCAGTAGTTGACAGTAGAACATTCTTCCAAATTAAGCAAATAAATAAATTAAAAAATGGCATCCCAGTCTTAGTCCGTAGGGTTCAATATTGTGTTGGCCCACCCTTTGCAGCTATAACAGCTTCAACACTTCTAGGAAAGCTGTCCACAAGGTTTAGTAATGCGTCTGAGAATGTTTGACCATTCTTCTAGAAGCACATTTGTGAGGTCAGGCACTGATGTCAGACGAGAAGGCCTGGCTCGCAGTCTCTGCTCTAATTCATCCCAAAGGTGTGCTATCAAGTTGAGGTCAGGACTCTGTGCAGGCCAGTCAAGTTCCTCCACCCCAAACTTGCTCATCCATGTCTTTATGGACCTTGCTTTGTGCACTGGTGCGTAGTCATGTTGGAACAGGAAGGTGCCATCCCCAAACTGTTGCCCACAACGTTGGGAGCATGAAATTGTCCAAAATGTCTTTGTATGCTGACGCCTTAAGAGTTCCCTTCACTGGAATTAAGGGGCCAAGCCAGACAGAGAAGCGTGATTCATCACTCCAGAGAACACGTCTCCACTGCTTTAGAGTCCAGTGGTGGCATGCTTTACACCACTGCATCCGACGCTTTGCATTGCACTTGGTTTTTTAAGGCTTGGATGCAGCTGTTCGGCCATGGAAACCCATTCCATGAAGTTCTCTACACACTGTTGTGCTAGTCTGAAGGCCACACGAAGTTTGGAGGTCTTTAGCTATTGACTCTGCAGACAGTTGGTGACTTCTGTACGCTTCAGCATGCGCTGACCCTGCTCTGTCTTTTTACGTGGCCTATCACTTTGTGGCTGAGTTGCTGTTATTCCCAGTTGCTTCCACTTTGTTACAATACCACTAACAGTTTACCGTGGAATATTTAGTAGCAAGGAAATTTCACGGATGGACTTATTGCACAGGTGGCAACCTATCCCGGTACCACGTTTGTATTCACTGAGCTCCAGAGAGCGACCCATTCTTTCACAAATGTTTGTAGAAGCAGTCTGCATGCCTAGGTGCTTGATTTTATACTCTTGTGGTCATGGATGTGATTGGAACACCTGAATTCAATGATTTGGAGGGGTATCCCAATACTTTTTGCAATATAGCGTATTTGTTTCTAGAGTTCCATATCCAATATGTTTTGGGGCAACTACACGGTTTCCTGCACCAGGGCGGTTTGTTTGGAACTTTACTTTCCTAAGCTAGATAAAGTATTTAAAACCGTCTTTATTATAATAAAGCACTTTTGTATAGGTCTAAGTTAACAAAAAAAGACTTGGGCTATAAAATCAAGTTTTTTTTCAATTTATCTACACTCTCTGCTGCTCCACCAGCTTCATTGCGTGGCTAGGTGTCCCTTTTATAGGCCTAAAATTAAACAGTTGCGTGCCAATGCTAGAGTCACAATTTAAAGATTTGTACGTTGCCGTCATATTCCCTCTTAAATGTCTCCTCTCCTTCTACTAAACCCACAACAGTAAAATGAGTCTGTATATGCAGTAAATCATGCTTGTTATACTCACTGTGGAACCTAATCCTCTGCATTGTGTAAAAAAAGCTGTTTTGATCCTGACTTATCTGATCCTCCCCTTCTTCTGCTGTCCCCAATCCATCTGCTGAGAGTGCAGTGCGCTAAGAGTCATTATGCTTATGTTCAGTTTAGTGAGTATTGCTAGAGAGTTTTTTTTTTTTTTTTTTTTCTTTGGGAATGTGCATGTGATTGACACAGGGCCAATCAGCACTGTCCAGACAGAGGGTCAGGGGTTATGCAGCTTCATAGGACAGTCAGAGGAGAATTAAAATTCCTCTTACAAGCTTTAATCAGTGCTTAGCTGGACACTAATAGAAGTCACATGACTGCTATATAATGCTGATGAGAATAGGTATTTAGCAGTTTATATTTACTAAAATAATTGCATTTCTGTGTTCTGTGTACTGTGTGAGACCAGATATAGTGAATGCAGGGTCCTGGGTTTACCATTTCTAATCATTCCTTATAACTGAAGTCCTCCAGCCCCCTTATTAGCTTTGTTGCTCTTCTCTGGACTCTCTCTAATTCAAGGACATCTGAGGATTGGTGACCAGAACTGGGCCGCATACTCAAGATATTGCTGAATCAGTAAAGTGGTAGAATTATAGTTTTATCCCTTGAGTAAATACCCTTTTTAATGCATGCTAATAGTCTACTGGCATTGCTTGGCATTGCATGCTGTTGCTGAGTTTATCATCCACTAAGACCCCCAGATCCTTTTCCATCCTCGATTCCCCCAGAGGTTTTCCCCCTAGTTTGTAACTTGCATGCTTGTTTTTAGCTCCGATTCCCTTCTTTACTTTTTTCTACATCTGCCATTTAGTTCCTCTGCAATTTAGCTTCTCACCCCTCTGTTTTATCGAGGTCTTGTAAAGTTGCTATATTCTGTTGTGAGGTTATTGCCCTGCTTAGATTTGTATCATCCATGAACACTGAGGTTGAACAATTTATTCAAAACTCTGTCATTTATGAACAAGTTAAACAGAATTGATCCTAGGACAGAGCCCTTGGTCACCCTGCTCACAATTTCAGACCATTTAGAATATGTGCCAATAATTACTACTCTCTGGACACACTCCTGCAACTAATCTTCTATCCAGGCGCATACCCTGTCATCAATGCCAAAAGACCTTAATTTGGAAATTGTTTGTTAGGTAATTTATCAAATAGGTGGAGTTTTGTTTTATAGTATCAGCGAAGTATAATCTAATGTCTTATGCAAGGTGTTTTTGAATTGGCCTTTACCTTCTTTACCCTTGTGCCTTTAGAAGAAGGAATGCACTGATGTCGTACATCTTGGAGAACGAGTCTTGTGTCTGCACTCACGATGGAAAATCCTATACGTAGGTCTTGCCAATGGAACAGTGGTCACTTTCTCCATCAAGGTATGTGAGATGTGTCGATTTTTGTGTCCGATTCATTAGGTTTATAATATATTGCCTCATTAATTTAGGCAAGGAGAGCCGTATGTAACTGCATGTATCAACAGTGAATTGTTTTTTTTTTTTTTTTTCTTTTAAGCTTTCTTCAGTGAGAGAAGAACATAGAAACTCTTCTTGTGAATGTCAGTTAATTACATTTTCTGTTAAAGAATATTATCCACAATTGGCTCTTCATTTTGTAGCGATAGTAGAGGGCTTTGTTGATCTGGTCTGGAGATACTGTGAAGACCTGGCAAGGTATTGCTGTAAAGATAATCATTCATTTATGGTCATAGTTTGGACACCTGGCCAGAACTTTCTTGGCAACCAGACTATGTTGGTGTAGCTGGTTGCAGAGAAAACATCTGCATTACACACAGCCCTTTAACATTTACTGCAAAATAAAGAGCACCAGAGGTGTCCGTACCATTTGAGTACTGTGGGTGACGCAAATTTTTTTCCCTGCATCAGAAATTGCCAAAATGTAGTTATTTTTTAGGCTGACAGACTTACAAACAATTGCTGTAAGTGAGCAAATGGCTCACTGAGAACAAAGACAACTGAAATATCGGTCTTTTGTGAAGCATTTTTATTTTTACGGTGCCAAGGTTTGACATCTACTTGTCCAGTAGCGGCAGTGGTGTACATGGTACACTAAGTCTTCACTCTTCCATATAGGACAGGGAAAGATCAGGCCTACTTGCTAATAAATATCCAAGCACTTTGAAAAATTTACTTGTGCAATAACAAGCTCCTCCAACAGATTCTTAGGAGCTTAAAATCTTGTGTAATTTCTATCTAACCTGAGTGTTCCACCAGCTGCAGATCAATTGGAAAACAGTCTGTAGCAGTTACACTGCTGATCACTACTCCTCCTTTACAAGGCATTTTTATCCTGAAAACAAAAACTAAATGAAGTTTCTAGTTCATTGAAAAGCTCAAGTTTGCATCTAAAATAAACTATAGAGCAATATAATCTTTATGAATACTTACAATTTTTAAAAGTATGCACTTATCTTATTTCCAATGTGTTATTTCCTATTTTTATTAGAGCAACACACAGTTAGATGTGTATGAGTGTCATGGGCCCCGGGCAGTTAGCTGCTTGGCAACAGCACAAGAAGGCGCTCGAAAACTACTGCTAGTTGGATCTTACGATAGCACCATCAGTGTTCGAGATGCCCATAATGGCCTTTTGCTGCGCACCCTAGAGGGGCATGCAAAAACGGTCCTCTGCATGAAGGTGAGAAAAACAAATACGTTTTGGTACATATCGCAACAAAGCATTTAATTATGATTCATGGCTTTTGTGATATTTTAGGACAATAACAAAGTGCTGGTGTTAACATACCTATTTTAAGTGAAAGATTCCTACCAAACCATTCACTTGCCTTGTGAGTGAAGTATCAATCACCAGATTAGCCAACTAGGATTTATATGGTTGTATGTGTATGTGTGCATACAGTAAGTCCTCTATTTAAAAACAAGTTCTGTTCGTAAGTCCAACAAATATCCAGCGCTTGTAGACAATGGCTACAAGCGCTGATCAGTGTGTTCTGGCGGGTGGAATCCCCCTGTCAGGACACAAAGGCACAGTGGGGGAGATTGCCGCACCAACATCACCAACATCGCTTGTGTTGGTATGGCAATCTGTCAGTGATTTTTTTTCATTCAGCCCGCTGGGTTGAACAAAAAAAACCCAATCAAACCAGAGTGTGTGTACCCAGCTTTACATGATTGCACATGTTCGTATCTTTGAAAGTTCACAACTTTAACATTCATATGTAGGGGACTTGCTGTATATTTTTATAGTTATAGTGCACAGGGGAGGAAAAATTTACTTTACACTTTATATATTTAAGAACGCCTATATAATGAGGATATGTGTCAGCTAGATACCTTGTCCTCATCAATGTGGATCCTATTTTCCACCGTATATCCATTGAGTGTCCTTGGCTTTGACATTGGTGTAATAAACATGGTGCCTGACCCCTGCCCTTCTCACCAACTCGTAACAAAGGACTGGTCAATCTCACACCTCACTGTCACTTAGGTAACAATGTCACTCTCAGTTGCACCCTGCACATAGATTTTCCAGCTTGCTGGACCACAGTCTAGGTGCCTGCAGCCTGAGAACAATTGCCACTGGGTTAGATTACCTAAGCAATTAACCCTTTAAACTCCAAACTGCCACCAGTTAGCCTTGGGCTTATCAACTCTTCACAATATTAGCAAGAACATATATTGTCACTGCAGACAGATATATTCAGAAATTTATCAAATACAGTGAAACTCTTCAAGAGTCAAGGATTCTTTTAGTTTGTTTTACCACAGTTAGAGATAATTTCAACACTTTTCAAAATAGGGTTTAATAATTAAAAGGTCAAAATGGTGCAAATAAGATATTTGCAGAAAAAGGGTGTTACAAGGAAATAGAGACAACAAGGCAACTGAGAAACAAAAAAGGTGTTGAAAATGAATACTGACATAGTCCTGGTTTGCAGAGTCCAATGGATAAGCAAAGATGGTACAGTGGCTCTCTCAAGTCCAGTTAGGTGTTCCTTGGTTTGATGTTAAATGAGAGTTAGGTAAAAGGGTCCCTTTTTCCGTGGTATCAAAAGTGTGTTGACAGAGATCATCTGACCAATCATCCAGTTTAAGGGGTGAGTGCTAGGAGGTCACTGCATTTATGACCAAGTCACAAATACAGTTTATTATAAGTATTTATGTTTGTGAATACCTACCATTTACAGTCTGCTATCATGCAGTCTATTGTCCAGCATGAAATTTGCTTCAAAATGGATATAGCTGTGACAGGTCTTGGATATCTATTTCTCAGAGGAGGGGTGTGGAGGCTTACTCCACTCTGGTACCTTCTTGCATGGCGGTGTTTGGGTTCAAAATGGTACCCAATAACTGTTGGAGGTAAAAATGTCTATATTCCGACTGTGCTGTCATTCTTTCATGAGTTATGAAACATGCTGAAATCTTGGTTGATAATCAGAAATGTGTATTCCACAGACTTCAAACTAAGGTATTTCTTTGGATTGCTCAAGCTTGCGAGGGTGATGGTTTTATTGGGGTTTCCAGACTGAAATTGTGGGTTGGGTAATGGAGAGGTCTGTGTGTCTAATCAATGGATTGATCAGAGAGTCCTGGCATTAGATGTGTATTGTGCCAGATGGCTTCCTGGGGGGATTTAAAAAAGAGACCACTGCAGCCATTACAAACTGTCATGGGTGAACGCCGAACAACATGGCTGCCACACCGAGCTATTCCTGTGCCTAGTGCACACAATCATTACAATTGGTGGAGAGCTCCTTTGTTTACAGACTTAAATGCATGATATACCTAATTCGATAGTAACATTGAAATGATTGGCAGTGTGGGTAAGCGTGCTTCCTTTGTCTGAACTGTAGCTGTGCTAAGGATTGAGGTTGCATGAATCATGTGTGCCACCATCAGGGGCGGACTGACAACTCATGGGGCCCCCAGGCATGGGGCTCCTGTGTCCTTGCCTAAACTCAAAAAAGCCTATGAAAAAGGTACCAAGGGCATCTCATGGGGCCCCCTACTGACCCCGGGCCCTCGGGCAGTGCCCGAGTTTCCAAATGGTCAGTCCGCCCCTGGCCACTATACAGACACTTGCTGAACTTGCTTATTTTCGGTTTCTTGTATACCATGCTGTAGATGGAGCCATCCTTGGGATAGGAGGGTTTAATTCCTCTTTAACATATGATAATCTTCTATTATGTGATTTACTATGTGTCTGAAACCTTTTTTGCCTGCATTTGTAATGTATTTTATTTGTTGGAATGTTTAGTATTTTCTTACTACAACAGATTTTCTTCATAGACCCGTTTAGATGCACATTTTTTAAGGAAACATGCTGGAAGGAAGAGAGGCTGCCATTATGACCTTTTTCTGAAAATACCAGTAGTTTATCATGCTGATCTATTTGCTTTAGTTTATTTATTTCAGGTACTTATATAGCGCCATCCATTTACGCAGCGCTTTACACATATATATTGTACATTCACATCAGTCCCTAACCCTCAAAGGGTGTACAATTTAAGGTCCCTAACTCACATTCATACATACACATACTAGGGCCAATTTAGACAGAAGCCAATTAACCTACCAGCTTGTTTTTGGAGTATGGGAGGAAACCGGAGTACCCGGAGGAAACCCACGCAGGCACAGGGAGAACATGCAAACTCCAGGCAGGTGGTGCCGTGGCTGGGATTCGAACCGACGACCTTAGTACTGCCAGGTGGAAGTGCTAACCATTTAGCCACTGTGCTGCCCAATTTGATGATATCTGGCTTTTTCTAGATCTGTGGCTTAGAAAATATTGAAATAAGGGGATCAGTTTCGCCGTCAGTTTTTTTTTTTTAGAAAGGGCTTGATAATCACAGGCTTCAGGTTGTTCACTTCCTAGGTGTCCTTAATGCTGGTCCACCGTTGTTTTGGCCACTAAATAATAAGCTGTTGTTGGTGGCATATGTCTCAACAGACATCACTCTGCTTATTTTGCAATATCTCATCATGCCCCTGTCTTTGTTTTGCTTTGAACCTCTATTTCTATGTAAACTTCATATGATTTCTTCCAGGTTGTCAATGATCTGGTATTCAGTGGATCAAGTGACCAGTCTGTCCATGCTCACAACATCCATGTAAGTATGGCAAGTCATTTTTATGCTTTCCATTCGTGCGATGTTGCTGTCAAGGTGTTCTCAATGCAGTGAGAGTGTTCTCATCATTGTACTTGCAAATTCCCTTTTCTTGTATACTTTGCTTACTCAGCTGAACATAGCTGTGGAGCCAGAGCAGTCTGAGGGGTGGATGCATGCTGATTCCCCTAGCGACAGCACTCCCATTTCTGTACACATGAAAATGTTAGGATTTCTTTATTATTCTAAACTGCAAATTTGCGGTTTGTTATTTATCTTCATCATCATTTGTTTTTCTTGTAGACTGGGGAACTGGTCCGCATCTACAAAGGTCACAATCATGCTGTTACAGTAGTTAACATCTTGGGGCAGGTTATGGTGACAGCTTGCTTGGATAAATTTGTTCGTATCTATGATCTGCAGGTAAGATATTGTTTGCTTTGACTCAGACAATAAAACCATGACTTTTAAAATGAAATTTGGCATAACCTAAAAAGAATGTACAGTGTTTTTGTATAGAATTGTTTTGTTTGTTAGGGTCATGATGAAAGCATAACATTTATTTTTTGTCTCTATATAAAAATGAAATATTCCTTAATATTTTGCATTCTCATTCTGAGCCTGGAGATGGAGCTTTTTGTTTCATTTTCTCATTTTCCTGGATCTTAGATTACTTCATGATGCAAAATCCTGAGACAAAATACACACATAGTGACTCATCCCTAATCAAAAGGCTCAGTCTTGGGTTATTATTATTTAGGATTTATATAGCACCAACAGTCTGTACAGTGATTTACAACATGAGGACAGACATGGTTTCAATACAATTCAATACAGGAGGAATCAGAGGACCCTGCTTGTTAGAGTTTACAATCTAAGAGAAAGGGTCAGGTGATACAAAACGTAATAACTGTGTGGGATGGGCTGATGGAGAAAATAAAAGTACAGATGTTAGGTGGAGTCAAGATAGGCTTCTCTGAAGAGGGATTTTCAGGAATGGCTTAAAAGTGGACAGAGTAGGAAATAATCAGACAGATTGGGGTAGGGAGTTCCAAAGGGAGGGAGGCAGAGCGGGAGATGACTGAAAGGATGGAAATGGAGGAAATGTGAGGATTCCCATTCCACTTCCATGGGAGAGGGAAACAGGAGAAGCAGTGTCGGATTCATGAAGCCAGGTTTCAGTAACCGCAAGTTACAGAGTGGCATTTTAAAGAGCACAAGTGAAGGGGAGACTGGTTTTAGGAAGAAGAGGAATAGACACTAAAATGTGTGGATTGCGGCTACTGCCAGGGGGCGTGGGGTGATGGGATCACTGGGAACAGTTAAATGATGTGGTCTCTAAAGGTGCAAATACTCAACACCCAAAAAGACTGAGTGCTGGAATAAAATCAAAAGGTGCTTCAACAAAGTATTACTTTAAGGGTGTGCACACTTGTGCAACCATATTATTTTAGTTTTTTATTTTTACTTCCTTCCACCTAAAAGATTTCAGTTTGTTGTTCAACTGAGTTGTACAGTTTATAGGTTACTCTAAAGGTGGAAAAAGTTCTGAAATGATTTCTTTGTCTCTTTTTTTTAAATCACAGAAACCTGACATTTTAACACGGATGTGTAGACTTTTTATATCCACTCTATAGAGATAATGATTTCTGACTCACATTTGCTGCATTCGTGTTAGTAGGTGTTTCAGCAGGACAGCAGTGTCTATTTTGTTTTAGGAAGAAAAGAACGTCTTGGAATATAGTAAATCCTTGGTGGAAAATCTGACAAATGCCCACAATGATGCCCACATCCACCCAGGATTATCCCTGTGGTTTTCTGTAGAGGCTGCTTATAACTGTAGATGAATAGGATTTGTTCCTTTCACCAGTGGGAGACTCGTTAAGAGGCTGTAGCCTCTGTTTCATTAGCCTGTGTACTAGGAAGGTCAGAGATTTAGTTGCTGGACTTTTAAAGTCTAGGTTTCATGAGTCTATTACATCGTGCTGGTGTAGTGGTGTCACATTGTCTGCATTCTTTTCTCAAGATAACTGTGTTTACTGCTTGGATAGTAAAGCCTAGGAGGGGAGAAGCTCAGCCAAAGAGTGAATTTAGTTTGCTATGGGCAACAACCTCAATGCTCTTTATCACTGCCTATTATGTTACATTTACTGCTGGATTGCATGTGCACATTATGAAAACTGTTCAGTTCAAAATCCTGTATTCACTAGAAATAATTTCTTGTCTTTTTGGTAGTCGCATGACCGGTTACAAGTTTATGGAGGATATTCAGACATGATCATGTGCATGTCAATTTACAGAAACATGGTAAGTTGTAAAAAGTTCAGCATCTTATTTGGTCTTTTCACATGATCATTCGGAAGTTTTATACAGTATGTTATAACTTTGGGTATATGTGTAAAAATACAGATTGTAAATGTTTTTAAAGTGCTCTGTTTTCAGGCAAGCACTATTTTTAATTGTATAGATGTTTTTGTACGCTCTGGTTGAATGCTCACTTATCTAGCCCATCTAGATGCTAGAACCCCAGTAATGGTCTCCCTGCATGGCCCTGACAGGACTAATATAACTGACCCACAACAAGTGGCCGATGAATTTAAAAATTACTATCACACATTCTGTACCTCCCATGTGACCTATCTGCAAAACATTAGATTCCCCCACTTTACTGAGGACCAGGTGGCACTCCTGAAGGTACCCATCTCCGTCGATGATATAGATGTTTTTGGGATATTTTGAAAGCTGTTTTAAATCCCCTCCTTGTCTACCAGTGCCTATTTACATTCTGTGCCATTATGGGCAGCCCATTTGACTTTAGGCATCATGCACCAGGAGTTGGAAAGTCCTATAGCGTAAAATCTCTGGCACCTTCCCGCACCTGGGGAGCTGCAGTCACACGTGCAGCTGACCATACCATTGAAATTGCTGTATGTAGCCACACTTTTGTAAATGCAGATGGAGTCTGTATTGGTGTTTACATGCTTATATGGTGTATTTCCCCGGTTGTGGGAAAGTGTCAGACATTTTACTCTAAAGGGCTTTGCAGGCCTTATAGTCACAGTAACATGTTAGGTTGTGAGGGATTTGGTGTACAGAAATTTTCTGAGTTGCTGAATAATTTTACCCAGTTGGACCTAATCCTTGTTATAAATTGACCCTCTGAATACTGCTATATTCCTAAACCGTACTTGTAGCAAACTTGACATAAAATGGGGATTCACATATATTGCTATAACTTCTTAGATATATCACATTTATTTGGGTCCTTCAGCCCTATTACCTGCTTTTCCTCCTATGTGCTGATAATTACACCCTTGTGTCAACATTATGAAATATAATAGTGTGGTCCTTTAATTATGTTTACTCCATGTCTTTTAGATCTACACTGGCTGTTATGATGGCAGTGTCCAAGCTGTGCGTCTGAACCTTATGCATAATTATCGTTGCTTGGTAAGAACATTGTGTTGAGCATTCCTGAGATCATCATTTTCTTCACCTGATTTATTTATATAGTTATAATTCTGTACTTGTACAGTGCATGTTGCTTAAGCCCCAACTAACCTAAAATTTGAATTGTTTCAGAAGCTTCATTAGAACAATAAAATTCCTTGTTTTGCAGCATCACTTACTGTCACTGTGCTTTTATTTGTGAACATTTGTACCCCATATACTAATAAAATTATAGCGAGTAACCATCTTGTTATATGTATGAAATCATGTTCAAACAAAAATCCAGGGGTGTTTTTTTTGTAGTTGAAAAGTATATATATTCCATCACTGGCCACTCCCTGGAGAATCAGAGAATCACTGATGTAGCCGCCTCTACTGCTTTGATTATTATTATTATTATACAGTATTTATAAAGCGCCAATAGTTCGCTCAGCGCTGTACATTACAAAGGGGGACAGTACATGTGACAGAACAATACCAATACAATGCAAAACATGAGGGGATCGAGGGCCCTGCTCTTTCAAGCTTACAATCTAGGGATCCTCACTGTCTTCTGGATTCTGTGCCATTCAGATAAATACTTTGTATTTTTCTCCAAGAATGCAAGGCATTCTCGGATTGGATGAGGTAGAGATCGAAACGTTACTACCTTGGCTCTCCAGCTTATCTAATCAGAGATTTCTTTGCATTAATTTTGAAAAAAAAAAACAAAGTGCTCTCTGAATGACGCCTTTTCCTGAGTGAGCAACCTCCTGTGGTTATCGTACAGCAGAGCAGCCGCATGGCCTGGAACCTGGAAGACAGAAAGGATCACCATATTTGTGTTGACTACTACAGTGATTCTCTATTTTCACAGGAATCTGCCAGGCATGGGACATACGTATATTGGTTCAAGCTAAGTGTAACTATGCAAAAAAAAATATATACCGTATTTTTCGCTCCATAAGACGCACCTGACCATAAGACGCACCTAGGTTTTAGAGGCGGAAAACAAGAAAAAAAAATATTCTGAACCAATGGACTGCAGACATAGTACAGGAGATGACCAGAGACTGCGGACATACTACAGGAGATGACCAGAGACTGCGGACGTACTACAGGAGATGATCAGAGACTGCGAACACAGTACAGGAGATGACCAGAGACTGCAGACACAGTACAGGAGATGACCAGAGACTGCAGACACAGTACAGGAGATGACCAGAGACTGCGGACATAGTACAGGAGATGACCAGAGACTGTGAACACAGTACAGGAGATGACCAGAGACTGCTGACACAGTACAGGAGATGACCAGAGACTGCTGACACAGTACAGGAGATGACCAGAGACTGTGGTCATAGTACAGGAGATGACCAGAGACTGCGGACACAGTACAAGAGATGACCAGAAACTGCGGACATACTACAGGAGATGACAGTACAGGGGATGACCTGAGACTGCGGACAGTACAAGGGATGACCAGACACTGCGGACAGTAGATGGGATGACTGAGACTGCAGACCTTTGGGGAGGGAGGTGGAGCGGGTACCTGAATTTGACAGTTTTTCTCCCTTTGGTGTGGGCACCCGGCTGATAGCCGGGTGCCCAGTGCGCATGCGTGAGAAGCGATGCGCTTTGTGATTGCTCCGGCGTCTTCTGGGACCTGTCATGTGTCCCAGAAGATGCCATACCATTCACAAAGCGAAGAGTTTCTCACGCATGTGCACTGGGCACACGGCTGTCACAGCCAAGAGCCCACACTAAAGATACCAGCGCGGGAAGACTGTACAGCGCTGGACCGAGGAACAGGTAAGGTTCTACTGCAGAAAAGAGACAAGCGGCCAGCCTGGTATTCTGACACTGGGAATACTGGACCGGCCGCTCCATATTCGCTCCATAAGATGCACTGACATTTTCCCCCCTGGTATATATGCCTGAGCACCTAGAATCATTGTTCTCACACTGGCATGTGCTGCAATATATATCCTGTGTGGCACAATTGCTTGCATATGCCCTTGTGCTGTATGTGTGTGTTCATGCTCTCATGTGTTTGAGTTCATGTGTATGCAACAGGGGTGCTTGGAAATTTTTTTTGTGTGTAATATTATTTACTTTATTATATTTTACTTTATTTTTTTTATTTATTTTTTTACATTTATTTGTTAACTGACTTCCTATACCCACCTCTTCAGGGAAGCCTACCCCCACCCCCTGCTAATTTGCCTACCTTCTCCACTCTTCCTACCACTCCATCCCCCACAGCTATCTCCTCCTGTACCACTATCCCCTCCCTCCTAGATTGTAAGCTCGAAAGAGCAGGGCCCTCGAACTCCTCGTGTATCGCATTGTATTGTTATTGTACTGTCGCATGTTCTGTCCCCCTTTGTAATGTACAGTGCTGAGCGAAATGTTGGCGCTTTATAAATCCTGTATAATAATAATAATAAATATAATATCATTAAACAGTTGACAGGTTCAATTTAAGGAGACACCAGGCATCCTCCTGCTTGCCACCCTGATGTCACGGTTTGTGATCCTAGGCTCCCAGAAGGATTGGTAGATTCCAGGAGCCATGGAGGGAGAGTGCTGGCAGAATTGGAAGGCAGCACCCACAAATTATCTAAAAGCGACCAGGCAGCTCTACAGCTTCGCAGATCACTTTTACAGTAAAACCAGGAGGTGGCTGAAGAAAAGGGAAAAAAGCTCATGGCTGCTACTGCATCTGTGAGCTTGTTTTAACTTCTTCCGACTTTGGACTACTAGACAAGTCTAAAGGGCTGGGTTAGTTTAGTGTTGTGAAACTCTTCATTTGAAGCTTAAGCTCACAGCAGATAAAATGTTTTGAACCTTTTAATAAAACAAAAAACACCAAAGAGACTTCTGTGTGTATGCTCTTATCTGTCTTCTATGTACTTGTGACTATAAGGAGACAGCAGCACATTTCCAGTTAGTGGGAGAGCACTGTGAGGTGTAGAAAGAAGCATAAAGTGACCTATGTATTTATGTATAACCCTGTCTGGTGAGTGATCCTAGTCACACGGTGAAGGATGCCAGGAAAAGCCTGATGTGAGCACCATCAGTGTCTAAGATGTATCAGATCACGTTACCAGTCTTTGAGGCTGCAAGTAGAGGGCCCACAAGGCAAGTGTTCCCTGGCAACTGGCACAAACCTGCCAAAAATAAGTACAGCTTAATGCCGTCAAAAGAAGGGGGAGATGATACTGATGCAAATCGGTGTCTGAACAGCATCAAAAAGGGATGAAGCAAACATTTCAAAAGGTCATTTGCTGGACTTTGAGTCTTCTGATTGGCTATAAGTAGTGTTATTACTGGTAATCACCTGAAATGTTTACAATCATCCTGTTGATGTCTAAGTGGTTGCCACTTGCTTTGGTCATTTTCTCTTCCTACATGGTCACATATAGCATGCCTGCATGTGTGTGGTGATTTAAAATTCCCTTTGTTTGTAATGGAGGAACCATTACAAATAAAGGAAGTGGAGTGGTACAATCCAAGAGTTTTAGAAGAAAGAAGCTTCACACTAATGCTTTCATCAAATGAGTTGAAAATGTTTAAAGTCAGCATAGTTTGTCCAAAAGATACACGCAAATGTATTTTGTGCTTTCCAAGAGACCCCTTTTATCAGGGCAGACAAAATTGGAGTAGAGTGATGACGGACGTGAAAAGGTTTACATTTTTGAACATAACGAGGTGGTGTAAGTTACCCTTTATGGTAGTGGGTAGAGTAAATCTACTCAAAATGATATGGGCTCTGCAATTATTGTACATTTTACATAATGCCCCATTGTGGATACCGGTAAAAGTATTTAGGAAAGTGGATATATTGTTTAGGGACCTAATCTGGAAAAAGCATAGTACAAGAATCAAATTGGAAACCTCAGTCTCCCAAAGACTGGAGATCTTGCCATACCTGACCTTCTTAGTTTCACAGTTGTAGCATTTTGCCAGATGGGATTTTGTAGACACCCAACCCGAATCTAAAACAGGTATTTGTCATCCTCTTTAAGGACAAAGCGGTAGATAATTTTGAGGCAGGAAAATGTCACCTGTATGCAACCCAAATTTTGGAATAAACCTAAAGCTATATTACAGTATATGAAATAAGAAAATAGAAAACTAGTGCACGGCCTACAATCTTATTAAGGTCAAAAACTAGCAATCTCCCTTAGACCAAATAAATACCATAAGAGCCAGTTCACACTACAAAAAGGCACTCTGGATGCATTATGGATACTTTCTTGCTTACAGTTCACACCACACGCAGGTCCGGTGCAGTTTTGATGCAGTCTGCCATGTTCCAGTATGATTCTCTGCCAAAGAATGCTGCATGTTCTACTTTTTTTTTTGTGGACCGGAAACTGCCTGGAAAACACTGTGCATGCATTTTTTGATACAGAAAAAAAGTGCACTGAACTGCATCTAGTGTGAACTAGCCCTGGAACAAGAGGCTGCTGCCGACACAAACAGTGTTTCCAGCACAGTGCACAAAATATCAACTTGTGTAGCACTGCCCCTGAAGCTCTCAATCAAACTAAAACACACCTGTGTAATAAATCCTCAGCAAATCGTCTCGTGCAACAACACAAGCATGTGAACAAAACATAATGTGCAAAAACCAAACAAATAAAAATTATTATATCCCACACCATCAGAGATAATGAATATTCTCAATAAGGTGAAACAAGTAGAGAATGAAATTGTAAAGTGCAAATAAATGATGAAAATTAAAAATGAGTCCCTGCAAGTCCATGTATTGTTTATAATGAATTCATACAGTGCAATCCATATAAACATTTCATAATTCTCATGTGCACCGAACACTTCCAAAGGAGTCTCCATGCTGTGAATATCTATAGCTGTGTAACCACCAGTTTGTGATCTTGGGTGGCCCCTCACCTTAAGTGAACACTACACAGGTCTAGTAGGACTTTGCTATAGAGAAGGTCCTTGAATCTATTTCATTGTAACAACCTACTATTGGTAAAGATAACTTCATTTTGACATCATAATGATTTTCGGCTATCTCTATGGATAGGTACTGACAGCTGTTTTGTGGTTCAGAGGTTAACTACATATTGGATTCTATATGGAGCTCTAAGGTGAAGATGCAGATGACATCCTTTTATTGTACTTGTTTCTACCACCTTCTCAATGTGTAGAAACAAATACTGTATAAGATTTTTGAGATTGTCAGATGGGCAGAGGGAGAAAAGGTTGTGTTAGTATTTTTATTAAGAAAAAATATAAAGCTTGAACATAATGCGACAATGTCCTTGAGAAGGCAAGCTGTAGCAGAAGATTCCAATTGATACTACTATTAAACCTAAATTCAATCTGCTGCCATAACGCCAGCTTCATTTTCACTGGTATATTGAACCCTGGCAAAGAGGTTACCTTAGACCCCTCTTAATGCACTGACCTATTTAGATATATTTTAATGAAATATAAACTTATCCTGGCTTAATGGTGTGGTGCTCCTTCTCTTCTGATTCTTTTGGATTTTGTCAGAAGCACCTCCCAGATGCCTCTTCATGCAATTCACTGCTCTCCATATAGTTCACTCCACCCTGCAAGTGGAAACCTACTATGGATCCAGTGCCTCCAAACCCATTCCTTCTCATTAAGTTGTGATGTGGCAATTCTGACAAATTGGTACAGTAGAGTACACTCAGAATCGACTATAAAACAGTGCTAGCACTGAACTTGTCTTATGTACTTTTATGCAGTGGCATGGATGCTCGCTTATCTTTGGTGTTGTCGACCATCTGAAGCAACACCTACGGAATGATCACACAAACCCTAACTTCCAAACCTTAAAATGCAGATGGAAGAATTGTGACGGTTTCTTCACAGCTCGGCGAGGATCAAAGCAGGTATTTTAGATATAGGCTTTAGCTTGGATGGTCTCATTTCTAATCATTGTGTGTTTGTTTTGAATTGAGTATCTATTATAAAATGAAGCTTTTTAGGAATGCTAGATCCAGAAATTTAGTTTTTTTTTTCTTTAGGTACTGTAAATATTATATAGTAAGAAACTCTGGGAAGTAATGTTTATTAAGTTATGGGGCCACATGAAATATTAAACAGCCTCTTATTTTCCTAAGCTGTGCCTGCTCCTCATTTCCGTAGAGTAGGCGGGGACCATATTTTTCTGCTCTGCTTTTTTAATGAGCTGTACTGTCATCATTGTGGACTGAAGGGTACTAGCTAGTGCAAAGGCTCAAAATGAAGCTGATGCCTTCAATAGCAACACAGCCTCCCACACGGGTTCTGCAAGAGAACCAATTACAGTTTCTGTTTGTGCCAGTGTTATTATTTTTACTAATATATTATTATTGTGAAGGTTTACATTTGAAATTTATATTTGCCACTTATTTAGCTTTTCTTACATTGTCTGGTCCTTAAAGTGGAACTACACTCTTTTCCACTCCAGTGATGTGGTGTCCACGAGCACCCTCACCAGCCACTGACATCTTCGGCTGGTCTTCTTACAGGTTCTGATCTTTGGCCACTTGGATTGGCTGTACCAGGATTACATCACTCCTGCTCATATACAGGAATTCTTTAATCTCGCCACCCCAGTGAGCCAACGGATGCAGCAGTGTCCCCAGGGCAAGTGGATTTCCCTGGGGGCACTGCTTGAGGGGGTGGAGCCAGGAGTGTCGGCGGGGACTGAAAAAAAAAAGATCAGGGCTTCTCTGTGCAAAATCACTGCACAGAACAGGTAAGTATAGACATGTATGTTATTTTATAAAAACAACGCTTTTGAGTCACTTTAAGGAAAGCTCCACTTTAAAAGTTGCTATAGACAGTGTGATTTTCTTTTCTGCAGCCACAGGGTTGCAGGAAACAAATGTGCTCAATTTCCCCCCCAACCCCCCCCCCCCCCCCCCCCCTCAACACAGTCAGTTTGGATGGGGGAATCCCTCCCACGGAGCCATTGTGTTCTCTCAGCGGGTGGGGGGGGGCAGGAGGAGTCATCCCTGCCAAGAAGACACAGTGATTACTGCTAGCGGCTATAGTAGCCACTATGAAGTATTGAATGTAAAACCCAACAGGCTGGTTGTACCCAAGTTGATTGATCGATCAACTTGGGTACAATCAGCCTGCCCATACATGGTTCGAATTCCAGCCAGTCCCTGATGAAATGTCCGAGATTTGAAATGTCTATGGCTGGCTTAAATGTTGAGGTCTGAAAGTTGCTGTCATGTTTACAACCCAGTTCCTAGCTGTGGGTAGCCCTTCTGGTACCACCTGGCTTGACAGACTTTAAATTAAATGTCAAAGGAGCCAAGTGGAAAATTGTTGGCTGAACAGCAATTCCGGCTTTTTAGATGCAGTTGCTGTTCTTGTGTTCAAACAGCTGTGGGTACAGTGGCTGTCAGAAAATAATAGCTAGTAGGGGAGATTCCTCCATCCTAGCTGTTTAGAGTGGATAGAAGAATCTATTAGATTTATCCCATCTATTTGTGTATGGCTAGCCTGAGTGCACAGATAAAAGATGCACAGATACAGTAAAAGATGCATGAGAGCGGTTTTATCTGCCAAAGGATTTGTATTTCTGTTCTTTCCTGCTTAAATGTTTACACAACCCTGTCATACAGCACAGCTAGACCAGATTTTTCTCTCTGCTCTGGTAAAGTAATTGAACTAGGTCTTCTCTCTGCCTCCAACTTGTGACTGGACAGTAAAAGGAGAAGAAGAAAATGACTGATAAGCACATCTCTCTCTCTCACTCTGCTTTCCTCTCGTTAGCATTCTAATCAATCCATGAATTCAGGAACTGGTGGAATTCAGCCTTTAAAGTGATACTGAAGGCTCTTTTTTTTTAAATAACAAACATGTCTATACTTACCTGCTGTGTGCTGTGGTTTTGCACAGAGCAGCCTGGATCCTGCTCTTCTCAGGTTTTGCACAGGGTCTCCTGGCTCCTCCTTTCTGTCGGGTGCCCCCACAGCAAGCAGCTTGCTATGGGGGCACCCGCTGCTCCGTGTGTCCATTCACACACGAAGCTGAGGCTTGGCCGCACCCCTCTTTCTCCTCATTTGATGACTGTCTGTGATTGACAGCAGCGGGAGCCCATCAGGACCGGGACAGCCAAGGCTGCATGCACATCGCTGGGTCGTGATGGGGCTCAAGCAAGTATTGAAGGGGGCTGGGGGCACTGCTGTACACAAAAGGTTTTTTACCTTCATGCATAGAATGCATGAAGGTAAAAAACCATGAGCATTTACAACCACTTTAAAGCTGTAGTAAACAGCAAAAAATAAACAAAATAATCATCTCCCTGCAAATTAAGAGCATAATGTGCTAGTATGCATTGCATAGAAAATTAAGAAAGACTTGCCTGAAAACGAAGCCCTCCAGCGGAGCTCTGTCACGGCTCCCTGGTGCTTCCATCTTCACCCAGTCTTTTTTTTCTGGGTTTGCAGGCTGTGGCCATTTGATTGGCCGAGCCACAATGACTTCACTCCTGTGCATGCACACAGCAGTCTTGGCCGTGACATCACGTAAAAGTAAAAATCTCCTAAACGGTGCTGTGTACCTAGAGGTAAGCCTTATTATAGGCTTGCCTGTAGGAATAAATCAACAAACAAGACTTTACTGCCACTTTAGGACTAAAAAATACAGATTTGTAAATGCTTTTAGACACCACTAGTTCTTTGACGATTAAATCTGTTGGGTTTTATGTTCAATTATTTTGGACTGGTCCATATACAGTAAAAGAATGTTGTTTTCTTTCTCAATAGGACGCAATAGGACACATTGAACGGCATGCAGAAGAGTGCCAAACGAACATATAAGAAGCACATTACCTCCCATATTGGGATGTTTCTTTCTAAGCAACACCGAGAGATTTTCAGCAACTCCCAAATATCTGACGCCCAGCAGGTTCAATAAACACTACTGGGGAGTGAAGTGCAGAGTTGCTTTATCTCTCTTTTATTCTTACTGACTGCACAAATGGCTCCTACATCCATCGTCTTTGTCACTCCAATGTCCAACATCCTTGTATTTCATTTTAAATGTATTTTCAGTGTTATGTTACCAAAAAAAAACAAATATTTTTCTACATTTCTCAGTCTTTCCTTCATGGGCACAGCATGAAGGAATCTATTGTGTTATTTACCTCTGTTTCCTGTACAAATCTTAAATGGACACTTTTACATTTTTATAGAAAGAATAGAGCCTTTTAAAATTTTATTTACACTTCTCATCAAAGAAGAGACTCTAAAAACGGTTAAATTATTTATAAAAAATTCCCTATAAGCAGATATGGTTTTATCCCTTTGGCACTAATTGTATTTTTTATTGCACCAATATTACTCAGATCCTCATCAACCAAATCTTGATCTCCTTTATTAAAAGGCTCTGTTGAGTTGAGGAATAATAGGATTTTGATAACTCCTCTTTATCAGGACGTAACACTAACAGATGTGTATAAAGGGGTCCTCTCTATTTGAAGAATTAATTTGAAGTCAGTACTTTTTTTCCTCACCATCAAAAAAAGCTAAAGTTGCCCGATTTCTATATACAGACATTTACACTTTTAATTGAGATGCTATATTTTTTGAGCATTGTCCCTTATTGATCAAAACACAAGCAGCTTTTCAACTACTGTTGTATATTAAGGGTTTGTTCACACCACGCAGCATCATTAGGCACTGATTTATGGTGGGGATGTGTAGTAACGCACTGTTTAAATGCATTACAGTGCTTGCAACCTATTTGCTTTAACTTTGCATTGAGTAGCACAGATCAATGCAGCTTAACATGCTAGGTGCGAATGAGCCTTAAAGGCTAGAAAATGTTACAAAGCTGGTTACAAACTTCAGTTTGTCAACTTCCATATAAGATTCCCATTGTAATGCAGTTAATTTGCAGAAGTAGCTTTTTTTTTCTTTTTTTTTAGGTGAGGAAAACCAATTCTGACTTGTTTAATTGGTTCTTTTTAAGTATTCTCCTAATTAACATACTGTTGTTGGTAATGTGAGTGACATGGCTGGGGCTTTGCATCCTGAAAATTCAATGAACATGTTATTAGAAGGGGAAACTATAGTGTTATGCCACTCAGTACACATTTTGCTCTATTAATTTTAACATTGCCCAAAAGTAATTCCTTGTGTGACTTTGACATTTTTACATGCGGTCTATACTTTATTTTATAGAGATTTGTGAATGCTCTTTCCAGGGATCATCAGTATATCGGGGAATGTGATTAGGGTCCCGTGTTTAGGAAGTGTTAAAGTGTACCTAAACCCAAAATTAAAATTGTAATCTATTGCAGTTTACCAGTCCTTAGATTTGGTGGCTGCATTCATTTTCTTTTCAGGCTAAGAACATTCACGCAATTACAAAAAATACCTGTTGAGCTTGTTAGAAATGTGGTGCCCTTGTCATTTCCTGTGTGTTGGCCTGGGAGCTAAAACAATGACATCTCACTTTTGTAAACTACTAATCCCATCAATCCACCATGTAGTGGGGACACGCAAAGGCAGGCATTTTTTGAAACCCATACTGTATGACAACCATAGCTCCCTCCACTGATACCATGGAGAGAAATATGTTGCCACGAAGGGAGAGGAAGTGAAAATAAAGGGAAAAAAGTCTGAAGAAATTAAACGAATGCAGCCACTACATTTAAAGGATTTATAAGCAACACTATATTACATTGTTTTTTAGTCTGGATACATTTAAAAAAAATTTTTTTTTTTTAAAGTGCTAAAATCAGATCTATAGTCTTGGACTGACTGAGAGGAGCAGTAAAGGACAGTCAGAGTGCTGTAACAGAAAGCAGAGCCTGCATATTTAAGCAACAATGTGACTGTACCTGTATGTATAAAATTTCAAATCGTACAAGGTTTCTAAAATCATTAATACCCATTGATCGGATTTTTTACATCTGTGAAAAGACTATGGTTTCCCCTTGAGTGATTTATTTAATGGCATAGTGTATTGAGCAATGTTGTATACTAAACAATGGAGGTCTGGCTACATCCATTCAGCAACCCTGCTCTTTGGAGTGCCAATTAGATGTTTATAACAACAAGGAATTACAGAAACTTGGATGGTACCAGCTTGCCATCTGCACTTGTAACGTAAGGGTACCTTCTTATATCTCTAAAAATATTTATGTGGGCCATTGACCTTATGTGGATCCTTTACAATGTGACCATTCAAAGTAACTCTGGTTGTGTCTCACACAGAGGATAATGTTTCTTTGCTGTAGGAGAATGTGTGCCCTATGGGGTTAGTTTTCCTTTGCTCCCAGTAGCAGCTCTTTTGTGGTAGTAAACCAACCAACTTAACCGCAGAATTCTGCTTCAATCCATCTAGATATCCTATTTGGTTATTATGGGTTGCACCACTTTATTGCTCTGCACAATATGCTATGATATAAACTCTTATAAGTGTCATTATGGTGATGTCATAGATATGCTGTTGATGGCATGGGTCCCTCACAGCAAAACAGGCGTATCAATACTGACTTTACAGTATGTGGGGATAACTTGAATGACCTTCTCATAACTATCATATTTTTGTGTGTTTGGTTGTATTGGTGTTGTGTTACTGCGTCTGTTAGTCAATAAAGTTATATTTTAGTATCCCCAGACACAAGAATTGTGTACAGAACTGTAAAATGTCAGCCTTCAAAATGAGCCCAAGTGCTCTTCAGCTGTGAACTTGGGCACCAATCATATTTAAAGTGGCACTTGGGTTATTTTCTTGTTTGATTTGTGTGTTTTAAGTTAATTTTTCATACACTTACTAAGCAGATCTTCTTGTAAGGTATTTTATAGTGCCACTGATAAGTATGACAAGTGTCATCCTATTTATTTCACATAAAACAGAAAATCAATTTGAAGTCTGCCGTGATGGTAGGTAGGTGTGATGTTATGGTGTATAAGTGATTGAATGTGTGTTGTGGGGAGTCGGCAAAAGTATAAAACAAAAAAATTTAAAAAATACCACAAAACAAAAACCACAAACATAATCTTTCCAGTTATGTATGAGTGATATAACCAGAAAGAATAAAAGATTACTTTGTTTTTTTTTTTGTTTTGTTTTTTTTTGTGTATGCTTGATACATAGCTGTCTTTTTTTTCTTTTGTTTTATCTGAGTCTTGAAACTTCAGGACAGCCAAAACTGCATTTAATGTCCTTACAGTACCTGACAGCAGCAGTCCTGTAAGTTTCCACAAAGCTAAATTTAGCAGTGTTTTAGGGTACGGTATTATTACCTAGGATAAAATGAAATTGCAGGCTATGTTGTCAGGCACTGGAAAAAACTACTTTTTTGGTATGTGCCATTGTAAGAGTAAAGAGCATTGGTGGATGTAACTGATGGCAAATAATTGGAAATTATCTTTTTCACAATGAAATCTATTGTGCCATTGGTTATTAAGAGTTGCTGAGCACCATTGTTCTTTATGGCATACTTAAGGAGAACTTGTCACAAACATATTAATTGTAGGATTATATGTCTTGTGTGCCAGGCACTTTGGAGTAGTCTTTTGGCACTGCACACCCCCTTCTTCACAGGAGAACCTTAACGATTCGTATGCCAGTGCTTGGAGTCATAGCTATCTACTGATTCCAGGGTGGTATTGTCATTCACATAAAAACTGAATACTTCTCCAGAGCTTGCATGAAGAAGACCAATACCAACCACACTGGCGTACTGGTAGCAAGGGTTCTGTCTGGTAGGGGGTACTTCTAACCAGAAATGCTTTGTACCAGTTTCCCTTTAAAAAAAAAGTCTGTAACACTTTGCAGGTAGCTATGCAGAGCTAAGCATCTCCCTGTCTCCTCTAAATATTTATTATTACAATTTGTAAGGGAGAATGTGAAACCCTCTGCTTAGGCTTATTGCACTGGCTCTGGAGCCCCAGAGAACCAGTGACTAACAATATAAACAGTAATACATTTGCAAATTATTAATGTGAATGTGTATTATTGTGTTAAAATGTAATATTTCTGCTTTTCTGTCTACCACAATCTGTTGTGCATCTCTAGAACATAGACAAATGCTAATGCCATTTCTTGCAAATGATTGTTTGAAACGTGCACAGCAGTTAAGCCCTTTATTAATAGTGCCAAGTTTTAGAACTGCCTTGATAGGCTTTTATGTCTTTGCGTTTCATGATATTACATCTTTGTTTCCATAGTTTTTTTTTTTCCTTTTTTTTTCCTTCTATCCACAAATCTCTGATCATAATTTGGTATTTGAGGGCTAATGTACGCTAATAAATCGGTTAAATGAATGACCTTGTTTCCTTGTTTTTTATTTATTCATTTCATGTTTTCCGATACAGTAAAGGGTCTATTTATGAAAAATTACCTGGACAGATTTCACAAGGATTTGACCAGCCCTAACAAATTATGCCCTTATTTTGTCTAATATAATAATTTCCCATAACTGTCACACCCATCTAATAGCCATACTGTGGTGTTTTCACAATTGAGGTCTAAAAAAAAAAAAAAAAAAAAAAAAAATAAGGCTGGTTGAATGCTTGTGAATGTTCACCCATCACATTTTTTTAAATAATTAAAGTCTGACAGGAGCACAGTTGTGTTTGTGGCGCTTAGTGAAAAGCAGCGTAAAACTGCAGCAGTCCCAGCAAACATTCAAGTGACTTGTTCGATTGCCCATGCAACTCAAATATACTGCTTTGTTTAGCCGATGGGACTGGGGAAAGCCCCTGTTAACTCCAAGCCTACTTAACAGATCTTACCCAGCGGTGTTTCTAATGGTTTTTAATCCACCCTTCTGCTCCTATTTGAGACTGCAAATCTCAGTGTA